TACTGTCGTGTTGAGGGACCTTTTTGTAAACCAACAACCGGTAAATCTCTTTGAATCTTCGCGTGATTTAATCCAATGCTCTGTTCCTTCAAAATCAACATATGTGCATACCGGAGGATTCATTGGCTTCGGTGAGGATTTCTAGATGAAAAACTACTCATTGGCTCAACAGTAATCTGAACAAAAACTGCAAAAAGAACTAAACCGTTTTGTTACAGACCCTATGAAAAGTCACGGAAGCGGTAGTGACATAAGGGTCAGTGTTCGCTTCCGTCCCAGCAGAGAGGACGGCCTGATCTTTGGTTTAATGACCACAAAAGATCCCGAATCTAACCGCATTGCACTATATGTGCGAGAAGGGAAGAAGGTAACAAATGAAGTGTTCTTATTATATGGACCCATATCGACTGGGAGAAACTTGCTAAACAATTAAATTTCGGCTTCCATATCATACTTTTCTAAAAGTATTTTAAATAACACAAAACGCTAACCGTTTCTTTCCAGTCCACTAATTTCTATATCAGTTGATATATTTTCACCTACACTGCTCTTACTTCATTATAAGTATGAAAATAAGATTCACTCTCTGCTAAGCCTTAAATTGAAATTTTCTTGAAGAGTGTTGTTTTAAGTTGTAGACATTTGCTTTTCTTACAGGTGGTATTTGAAATTATAACAGTAGATCAGGATCGCCAAATAAAGTATACGTTCAGGCACTATTTATGTGATGGGAAGTGGCATTATGCGTCAATCTACATTTCTGCCTCTAAAGTTTCTATCGAGATCGACAACGTATGAATTTTTAATCGAGCTTATTTAACAGCCACACATCCCTATGCCAATTTCTGACACTTAACACAACTTCCTATGAAACGTTTGACTTATTTTAGGTAAAGGAACATCTTACGGAATTCACGCTCAGTCCAAATTCACTAAGAATTTTAAGAAGCCTGCCAGTCAATTTCGGCGGAGTATCAGGTTAGCCTTTTGCGATTACTCCCATTACCTGAAGACTTCATCAGCTCAGATCAGCTCAGAACTTGGCACACAATTGACAACTAAAGTGTACTATTGCAGCAACAATTACCAAGAAGATTGGGACAGCGTCGATGGCTGGTTGCTTCAGCGATTTCAGCATTGGAAACAAGATACTGCTTATTGATGACGCCCGAAGGACGAGCAAAACTGCAATTAACGCCTGTCCGTACCAAGAGTAAAGCAGTTGGATGTCTTACTCTCGCCGCATCCCAAAATTCACTTTCAAAACTACTTCCCACCCTAATATATAGTGCTGTTCACTTTGTTTTCTCATATGTAAACAACTTTAGTTAATGAGTAGCGCCACCTACAAAATTAGTACAACTCCGAAGCTCCCATAAAATGCACAAATTTTTTTAAGAAACCATCCCAGGGTAGCTTCCTCGCTCTCCCTCAAAAGCAAAAAAAAATCACCATGGTGGCAGCTAGAAGTTACTCAGGAATCAGATAAAGGGTTCCACAATATCAAACGCCAAATGTTTTCTTACTGTTATTTGTTATTGGTACTTGAAAGAAAAGATAAAGACTAGGACAAAAAGAATATAAAATGTAAATTAAAAGTTAAACCTGCATATTTTTTACACTAGCGATCCACAAAAATTAATCAACCAAAAGTAAAGATGGAAACAGCAAGCCAGTTTCAAATTAACAACGTCAGAAAAAGAAGAGATACAATGCATTTGATTGTCTTTGGTCTTTGTTCTAAAGAAATCATTATTAATTTTACAAGATGAATTTTCACATTTCGTCTGCAAATCGGCAAATGTCTTTCCAAATGAATCACAGCAAGGTAATCAAGTTAGTTATTGCAGGTGAAAAAAAAGAACAGTTCAGCTAGTAAATATGTACAGCCCCTTCCAAAGATCACCAAGCCGCTATGTCGTTGTCGACTCAAAGCAGTTGGAAGAGACAAACGTTTGTCACCTCGACAAAAGCATTGCTCAAGTGCAACAGTATATTACCCCTCCACATCTCTTTTCTGTTTCACTCCAGCCACTCCGACGACATAAACATGCTTTCCTTTGGAACTTCCATCTTCAACAATCCTTTTTATCGCCCGTTCCCACAGTGTCGACCTTTGAATAACGAAAGAAAGTGGAAGTAGAAAGCAAAGATAAGAGAGGAAAGTCAGGAAATCGGCGGGATTGCACAGCTTTAAACCAAAAAAAATTACCAACCTTGGCAAGTCCTTCCTGTATTCTCGCATAATGTCGAAATCAATGACATATGGGAAGCCAGCAATTATAAGCTCAAAAATCCTTTCACCGGCACTATAAGCAGCTTCTAAGTCCCGCTCTTGACGCGGTTCAAAGCGCCACCAACCTCTACCGCGTGACTAAATTATTTTTACGTGAAAAATTATCAACTAATCTTCATTGTCCTGCACTTTACAGTTAGGGCCAAAGACATTTCTCTGCCTTTACTTACTCGATAAAGCCACTTGACTTCCCCTTCGTAGTTTGTACTTTCACCTCCGGCGAGTGTTCTGGGCTGAGGGTTCTGCTCTCTAACTTGCGCTGAAGAACTTGCCTAGAAACAGCATTGTCCTTCAAAAATAATCAAGTTTATAATGTTTGGTTTACTTCGTACAGAAAGATAAAACGAGTCGTACGTGATCTGAACTGCAGAAGCTTGGCCTCTCGAAAAGGGACGGCTGGACAGGATTTCGGCAAAGAGGACACGACCCGACCCTTAATGCGACACCTAAGATTTGAAAATACGGCCTTTAGTAGCAACAAAGACGGTTTACAATAACACTGTGAAACTGGCAGTGAGAGTGTTGCAAGCAGACCGAAAAACTTACCTTTGATACATAAAAAACAAAAACTGTGTCCACAGTCTGGTAATGTAGTTTTGAAGTTGAAGTCTTCATAGCATATTGAACACAGATCGGAAGATACTTCCTCATCCTTAACATTTTCTTGTCTTCCTGCTCCTTGAGATTCAACCTTCAATTGCTTGCTCTGAAAGTGCCCCACTCAACTGACAAATAAAGAGATCTGTTGAAGCATCCTAAACTGATTTTAAAAAGTTTAAAAAGCAGAAAAAATGTTCAGAAATTTGTTTCTACATTTAGAAATCTTATACTTTTACATATTTTAAGGTGGGCAATTCTATCTTATTCTTTATCGTCATCTGAAATAACTAATTTCTCTCAAAAATCTCCCATCATGTCCCGTCTTTGAAACAAATATTTTTTTATTGTCTTTTGAGAATCTTTATAGCTGATGGGTTTGCGCATACAGTATCCTCGATGAAACTTCAAAAATAAAAAAAAATTCTTTCAATGATTTTCCAAAAAATGCCCATCCTAAAAAAAAAACTGGTAAAAGAATCCTATATATCTGAAAGAGAAAAACCTAAAATGTAACTCACTATCAACATACGTAATATGCGCACCCATCAAGTAAAAAAGTAGCGTTGAACCATAGAAACTGCCCAAGAAGTTTGATAAAAATTCAAGGACAGTTCCAAAAAACCTTTCATCAACACTTGAAGCAATCGTATGGGTTCCGATTATTTGAATGCATTGGCACATGAAGCTTGTAAAAAATTGACAGTAACTGTCTTACAAAATGCCACTACAGTCTCAACTACCTCACACGCTTTGGGTGGAAATAACAATTTATTTTACCGGTACAGTATCCTCAGTCACGCTGGAACTTCTCAACCGACGTCCACAATGCGGCATACTTTGACTTGTGAATTTGAATTAGCTAAAAAAAACGCAAATGAATAGCTTTTTTATCGCACAATATATGAATTACTTCGACGTAATCTTCCGTGAATTTTATAAAAAGAGTGATGCACGGTAAGCCACTCTTGCATACATCACAGTTACTAATCACCTGACAAAAAACTGCAACAGTTATAATCAAAAGGTACTGCAATTACATTGTCTTTGGAGGCTTTTGAACACCCATATGTATAATTATCAACAGCTTGCAAGAGTATTTGGTTGAAAGCTCAAAAGGCGTACCTGCAACAATATTCAAAGGTTTTTCTTAATTCGAAACTAAATCCTCAGAAAAAATTACCAATGAGTCTACAGTGCTGCTCTTTAGTTATAAAGTTAGGCAAAACAGACGAGTGTCAATAACCAATGTGCTGGCGGCAGACGAGATTTATATAGCAGCATCTGACGATGAACACAAATTGGGACTGCACACACGGATGATGAAAGTAACTTCTTGCTCGAACACGAAATAACAAGAAATGACGTATCGTTGCCATAATTTACACTGGACGCCTAACTGCTCGTCAGACCAAAACAAACAACGATGCTATCTAAGTGAACAACAAAATTGTGCGGATGACGTCATGATGACTCATCCTATAGTGATAAAACTGTATACTTGATAAAACTTATTTTTCAATCATCGCCCAATCGGAACTGTTTTTCAGAACGCCATTATTCCTACGATACTCATAAAAGCAGTCTGGCGCGCTATATTTAGTCAGATTAAGCAAGCGTTTGAAAAGCACAGCTTTTCTCTAATGGACACTGTTATTAATGGCCGATGGCTAAGTGTTTTTCTGTTAGATTTTTATCATTTAGAAACTTTCTTAACCGTTTATACACCATACATTCAATTCGACAATTATTGCCCCTCTTTTTAGTAATTCTTTTTTTTTTTTTTTTTTGTTATACGGTTCATTTTACATCTACAGTAGTTTTCCCTAGCAGATATTTACTTGATAGACCTTCACAGTTGCTCATTACAGGTGTCTAATAGAAAAATTATTAATTCTGCAATTCTTCTAACTCACATTCCAGCCCTATTATCCTAAGCTTTTTCTTATTCAGTAACATTCTGTGAATCCGTTAACACCATAAATATTCGCTATACTGGCTTCATTTCTTTTACTGTAACTTCTAGTATTAGAATCTGATAAATATCACCCTCTAACTGTATTTTGTATATAGCTTCTATACAGACAGATAGAAAGACAGGAATATCCAATTATACTATGGCTCTTTCATTTGTCTATCTATTGGAATCAGTTTTATCACTAACTAAAGGAGAACTATGATAAACTTATAGACACTGTAAATGAAAAAATGGGAAATTTCTGCATCGGATAAAAGACGGCATAAAAACAACACTTTCTTTTAATATCTGTCGTACGTTTTAGAATTTTCTTTTTCAAGAGCATTTTGAGCTTGTAGTTGATAATTTAACTTCTTCAAGTGGTAAATGTCTGTCGTCAAGAATAAAAAAACGAAGATTATAGACAATGCGATGGGTGGTTTATATAGTGAACCTTTGTTAAAGCGACCGTTAATTGAATGCTGGCCGACGTTTTGTACTACTGGCATCAAGCAACTAGCTCTAGTTCAAATTCTTTTAGATGCTACTGTTGTCATCTTAACAACCTACCAGAAAAGACTACTGTATTTTCTGCATTAAAATTTTCAGATAAAACTTTCCCAAAATTTTTCTAACCCAAAAAAGTACGCAGTCTTTCCGCCGAACCCATGGAACAAGCAGTGTTGCCATGGAATCCATAGCAGACAACTAATCTACCCCTTTCCTAGCATTACGTACCAAAATATCTTTCCAGAATTTTTCATCCTGAGGTTCTGCAAGCAGTTCTGCTCATTAATTTTATGCTACCGGCTATGGATTTTCCATTCGAGTAACGCCATCCGGATCAACTGAATTTTTCGACCATTAGAAGCATTTTGAATTCTAAAAGCTAAAAAAATCACAAGAACGAAACGTCTGTGAATTAATGTTAGTCGTTTTAATCCCCCAGTTTTTTAATCTTTTTTAAATCCACATTTTAAATTCTCCGTTGAAACAGAACAAAAAACTGACTGGTATTTTGCAGAGGATTTTTTTCTCATTTTTAAGTTTCAAGCAACGACATCCAGTGCATCTAAAAAAGCTGCTCAAAACACAATAAAACAATTTAATTCTCGCCCCTACAAATCTTCGACACCGCGAAAACTACTCTGCATAAAATTACTACCAATGAAACGCTGGGGTCACCAAAATGCTTCAACAGAATTAAACAGAAGCTACTAGCCACATTGAAAAGAAAAACCCACCTTGAAAAATTTGTCAGCAACAATTTGATTAGACCTTACTTAATGGCCGTTTCACTTTTATATTTTTCAAAATGTAGAAAAGTCATCGCCCAAAAACCCACTATTCAAAAAAATTCCAAGTCATCTCTTAAGAAATTAAAATCTACTACTAAAGATGGCATCAAAACTCTCTATATCCCAACAACTCTTAAACTTTCATTAGAAATGCCACCCAATAGCACAGGTCTCCATAACTCATTGCTTCCCAAATCAAGAAATCTAACCACTCAGGAAAAAACGTGTGAGAGAAATATAATATCTACAATTTCGCTAAAGTCGGCCCTAAAACTATTCATAAAGAAAACACACAAAGAGAACTCGATCGCTTACGCCAAACCAAAAAACACCATTGTAATAACAAAAAACTAACTTCCCTCTCAGAAAAAACTTTTGCGACCACAACGCAATATAAAGAAATTCTCATCAACCCCACCACATTCAAACCTGCTCTGAAACAACATAATCCTTAATCAGGTGATAACCCTACCAGACGGTATGACGGTTTCGCTAACTTCTTCAAAACAAAACACCACACTCCTTCATCCCTAACGTCATTTCAAAAACATCCACCTGGAAATCCCTCACAGTCTTATTACCGAATCAACATGTAGCGATCGACGCTCTAAAAACTCTGTGACATTTGCAAGCATTCATATAAAAACTTGTTCAGTAATTAAACAACGAAAATAACAAGAAAACGTATATAACAATTTATACGTAAAATGGCTGGGAAAACAGTGAAAACATCAACAAATAACGCAGATTGCCGCGATATGCAACACCTATAAAATTTTGCACTTGAAGACACAAACTTTATATCACTGGCGAACAAATCCGATCATCTGTGAACTCTCAAATAAAACTTAAGAATCGTTGATTGTAACTTCAACGTCTACCCCAGGTTCAATAGAAATCGATGTAATTTGCTTAAGAACATCACTTGGACTGTGCAAATTAATTAAGCGTTTATGGATACGCATCTGAAATTTTCAAATTTAAAATTCATGGCAGAAATGAGATCAAGTGAGAGCCGTTGCCTACTTAGCCGTGGACTCAAAAAATGTTCAACGTTCTTCCTTACCACTTGAAAGTAAAATTAAATGCTTGAGTATTAGGCATTCAGGGTATAGAGCGAGAAGAGAGTTTTGAAATGCAATACACAACATTAAATTACAAGAAGAGTCATTAGTTAAAACCTGGTAACGATCCCAAGTCTTGGATCCTTCGCCACATGGAGTCTTACGAGTAGTGATACGAAGAATTTTTGTTGGCATCCGAATGGGACCCTTTACCACAAGGCTTTTTTCCTTTGCTCCATTAATAAGTTGTTCGCAGACTAAATGTTTTAGCTGATCAAAAAAAAAAAAAAAAAAAAAAAAAAA